GTTTGAACAATTCATGTGACAAAGTAAGTGGAGAAAGGTATGGGGCTTAGTGCCTTGGAACTTTTACTTCTGATACGTGACATTACTAAAAGGTTTCTTTGATGGTTCAGCAAAACCAACCACATCCGAGTTGTTTCTTGATGTGGATCAATTGTGTATTGTTTATATCACAGCTTTCACTGGCAGCTGTCAGGAGAGCGCTAAGTCGTTGTTAAGGTCTTGGGTGCTGGGTTGCAACTATTTTATAAAAACTCATCAGTGACATATTATTATAATGAATACTCAAAGATGACCAATGTTCATAGCTTTTATATTCTTTAAAAACAAGAGAATATTTTTTGAGGTTATGATAGAACCATGATAGATGCCCAAAATAACAACAGAAAACAACAAAACCAGCTGCCTTCATTGGCAAAGAGGTCACGCACAGGGATATGAAGATGATGTGCAATGAAGTGACAGTGTAAACACGACTCTGCTGCCGTCGCAACAGCTCATTCTGCAAGATCAACTGCAGACCCCGAAACAGCTGAATTATTAGTGACTTGACACCTGCTGTCCCCTCTGTTGTGTACTTTAAGACTTCTGCTCTATTTACAACACCTGTGTCAGGTGTTCCTGACTCCTGCCCTGAGTCAGCAGAAGGCTGCACTCCCAGCAACATAAAGACAAACCAAACTACCCAGAGGCCCCGTGGCTGGAAGACACTCTCCCTTCCACACACTCCTGAGCTGGCACGCTGCACACTCAAGTCTCGGCACAGGCTCAGTGGTTAAAGGCCGTGTGGTGTTGAGAAATGCTGTCTGGTTTTAAAGCCAAATTGCAAGGCTTCAGTGACCTACAGCATTCCACACTTGAGTCTGGGAAGTGTCACAAAGCCCCTCCAGGGTCAGCCCATGGAATTCCATGATGTAATGGTTTTATTCATGGCCAGATCTGCAGAAGGAAAGTCCTGCATACTCTAGTGTAGCTCACAGCATGGTCCTACCATTCAGTAGACGGCTGATGCAGCCCCACACCCCGGCCTTTCACCAGCCACATATATTAATTCAAGTTATAGTTTCTGCTACTTTGAAGGTAAAGCCACGCTGTCTAGCAAATTATTAAATTTTTGATGGAATAGGACAGAAACTGTGCTTTCTATAATCTGTGTCTCTGGGAAATCTGTGTCTCTGTGTCAGCTACTTGCTGAGATTCTATACCTTCTAGAATATGCTTGGGTTTATATGTGTTGGGGCAGAGTAGAAGTTACCCAGTACCCTGCCAAAGCCACATGGACACTCCATCCAAGAATGGCTGGAATGCAGACTCTGCACAGAAGGTCAACGCCTGCCATGATGACCCATCTGTCACCACAGAAGCACCCTGAGAAGCTCAAGACAAACCCTCAGACTCCATATTCCAGTGAGCTTCTGGAAGAACTCTAGCCACCTTTTCAAAAGGACCTTCCCTCCATCCATTCCTGTGTCATCCACTCAGATGTCAAAAAATTTTTTCCTAACCAAGCCATTAACCAGTTTCTTTTGCAGTACTAGGAGGGTCTCTTGATCTCCCATTCCTGCCCCCCACCCCAGACTGAGACCACCGCTGAGAGAACACTGCCCAAACTCAGCTCGAAGAAGCCTTGAAGAAGCCGTGGAGGAGAACAACACCCTTCTCCTTTACACAGAACAGAGGCGAGGAATGTGAAGAGTGGTCTAGAACTCTGCCCCCTTCTTCTTACCTAAGAATCCCATCCCCCAATCTCACAGCCCCTCCCCCCTATTCCCACCCATCTACCTGTGGCTCAGATAATCCCAGTCACGTCCCTCCTGCCCTGCCCCTGCCCCCCAGCCAATGCCCCAAGACTCCCACACCTTGCAGGCTCCCTGTATTGTATCAATGGGCTCTCTTCTCCCCTTCCTTCCCTTGTATCCTGGCTCTCCCCATCCTCCATCTTGCCCCCTTTCCCTGCCCTAGCAGTCCCCCATCCTGCCACCAAGGCAGGAGATGTGTCCCTTCTAACCTTTCCCCCCTCCCCCTGCTCCCGTTCCTACTCTGCTGGAATAAAGACCTCCTAATACCTCATCACGTCTGGTATTTTGGATTGTGGTAACCTAATCGAGAAAAGAGGGCTTGGCTGCGTGAAATTAGCTGCGTGTAAGAACTTTAACTGCGTGCATTTAAAACCTAACAATGTGTCTATGAAGATCAGAAAAGAATTTGTGCATAAAGTGCCAAAAATACTTCTTGGAGGTAAAATTAGTTTCACATCTATCTGCAGTACTGTAAAATGTGTCTCAGTCAAAAACTTCTGCTTGTAACTGCAGAAACTAACCTGGGGCTTCTTGAGCAAGTGCCAATTCCCGGAAGGCCAGAGAAGCTCAAGAGGTTGCAAGAATGGTGTGGTGGAGGTAGGAGGAAAGCAGTACCCAGCAGAAGACAGGCTCTGAGGATGCCACCACTGCCAGTGTCACCCCACAGGCTCTGAGGAGGCCACCACTGCCAGTGTCACCCCACAGGCTCTGAGGAGGCCACCGCTGCCAGTGTCACCCCACAGGCTCTGAGGAGGCCACCGCTGCCAGTGTCACCCCACAGGCACATGCTCTCTTTTTTTCCGTGGTTTCTCCCTCTCCACGGGGGATGGATTCACAGAGCCCAGCTCTGAATGTCACAGGAAGTGACAAGGGCATGCTCCTTTTGTATTTCCAAAGCACAAATGCTCTTCGTGGCTACCTGGGCTTTTACTTAGCATTTTATGGAACACCTGTCTGACTCTTGGGACCATCTTAATGGGTCATGACAGGTTCATCTCAGACACAGGATAGATGCTTCCAGCATCCAGTCCAACGGTGGACTCAGCAACGTGTTGATATTACACTAGGGGAATCACTAAACCATTTCCTTTCAGGGGAAAAAAAAAGGCTTGGAGACAGAGGCAGAAACAGAGAGCTTGACAGTGGACACACTCTGGTTACTCCAGATGCCTGTGGACACTGGACACTGGGAGGCGATGCAGGCACTCCACACAGCTGGCAGGGATGCAATGACTGAAGTCGCTTCTCCTGTTGCCTCTGAGTTTCTGCCCTGGCAGGAAGCTGGCCGGAGCCAGGAACTGGTGATGGGACTCTAACTCAGTCAGAGCCAGGAGCTGGTGCTGGGATTCTATAACTCAGATATTTCGAGGCGGGAATTAACATCTTAACTGCTTGATGAACACCTTGCCCCTTTACTTTCCATCCAAACAACACCTATGTCCTTTACCTTCCTTAAACGGATCTCATTAAAATCCCTACTGATGCTGATTCAAAACAGAGCCATTCTTAAAGAGGAATTCAATATTTAGTCAGCATTTAATTCTATCGTCATGTATCTAGTGGGTCCAAGACTGGTTTTAAAGAATTTCTCCTGAATTGCATTAGTGGCAAATCTATGATGTGGCCTGCCTGTATGTGTGCATATTCCCCTATAAATGTCACACAAGAGATAAATCCTGAAAGACGGGTGGCCATTCAACGCGAAGTTTCACATAACTCTTACGGTTTCTCAGCAGTGAGGAATCTGTCTTGCTGAGTGTTCACAATTTGTATGGAAAAAAGAGTCTGGTTTCCCATCCCCTTGCTGCCAGACAACTGGCGGCAGGGATGGCTTCATCAGAGATGCTCGGATCCGAAAAGAGGGAATGGAAAATGCATGCCGATGAGCTTTCTTGTTGCTCCTTGGCCAAGTCCACGGGAAACTTGAGGAAAAGCTACTGCGCCTCCTCTCTCATGTACATTCTTCAGAAATGGCTGCTGCTCTCAAGGCAAAGACATGCCAGTGAAGACCCTGGCTAGGGGGTCTGACGGCCCCGCACTCTGCTCTAAGGGCCAGACACCACAGAGGCATCCTGTGAGTCACCTTAGTTCCTGGGTCCAGTACTGACGGGAAAGGCAGGTGCTCCTTGGAGGGACATGAGCTGGGCTGTTTCCATGGCTGGCCCGCGTTTCCCAGCCCTCTGCCAATGCCTTAGTGCAAAGTGGTCTCTGCAGACTAGCCGGAAGATGTATTTATGAGACCAAAACTATTGATTGCTCCCACCACCTCGTGAGTGCTGTTAGGAAGACTCTGAGCTGACAACGAGGCAGTGCCTCGACCACACCAAACACTCTGCTAAAAGTTGGTTGTTGACTGTGGAGCTGATTTAATGGAAACATCTGGGTACTTGGCAGGCTCCATTTAGATTTTTTTACATAAATGTTTGACATAATAAAGTTTACACTCTACATACAATAAGACTCCTGCTGTTAAGCCAATCATCTTTTAACACCCTGATAAGTCTCCCTAATTACTGGTTTGTGCAGCCCCTTGAACACAATGTCATATATATATATTTTTAAGGTAGTTATTAAAAGTAACATATTGAGATTAATCCTAAAAAAGGAATGAATTGCATAAAGTATCTTTTACAAACACTGATGGGTTTCTCTGGAGATGGCCCTCATCTACTGAGCCTTACGGGAAGTCGCTGTATCTAAGCGCTCTCATGAGCAGCACTCTTATTTTGATTTTACGCTGTTGTCATCACGTTATGTTTTAAAGGAATTTGAATGACATGGGCTCTGAAGGCAGGCGTTGAGAGGCAGTGGCATGTCATAAAACTGTAGGTGCTTCAAGCATTTTATCTCCGTGCTGCCATCACCAATAGCCTTCCTACATTAGTCAAGGGCAAAGGCACACAACACACCAACATCACTCAGCAGCTGGAATAGCATCACCTGACAGCGATTTTGAAGTACCACGACGTAGCTGATGTCTCAAACATGCCATTTAAAATCACCGATCAATTTCTAGTTGTAATTTTCTCTCTGTGTTCTGAAACATACAGAATATTGGAGTCCCCAAGGACAGAGGAGAGGGAAGATGGGGAAACTGTGGAGCAGAGGGTGGAGGTGAGTTGTGGAGCGGAGGAGGGACCTGGCGCGATCACGACTTCGCCACTGTCTTGTAATTTCTGTCACTTTTGCATGCGAGATCCTTACCTGCGTGGTGTGGCTCTCCCTGTGTCTCTGAAATGAGGACATCGCTGTGCTGCTCACAGACACCCCGGAGTACCTACCGTCTTCAGACACACCTGTGGAGGTCAACAAACATGGCAGTTACCTTGTGTCCGCCTTCCCTCTTCACGCATGCAGCCCTCAGTGCAACGAGCTCAGCACAGTTCACGTGCTGAAACGGGCAGCACTGAATGCCAACTGAGACTCGAGTTTGCCCTCCTTTGTGGCTTGTTTTCATTTGGTAAAGAGCAAACATGCACACAGAAGAGACAGGATAAAATGAAGACATCCATCATAGTAACATGTGCGTTGGCCCAGAGGTGCTGAGGGGAGACGGGAAAGGTTTCTGGAGCTGCAAGAGGGAAAGAATAGTTTGCTTTATACTTCATCCGCAGGAAGGCAGGGAGGCAAAAAGGTGTGACCTGCAGCAGAGGCATGACCAAGTACACGTGCTGGCTAATGCTCCCGTGGGTGGTTCAGTGGGCGCACAAGAGGGAAGTGACAAAGTTCCATGAGAAAAGGATGGGGACACACCTATTCATTACAGCACCAGTCTGTAACTATTACTTAATTCAAATGCTGGATAAAGAATGGGCTCAGGAATTTTGCCCCTCACCCTGACAACATATACACATCCAGGAATGTGCTTCTGTCACCCTGCTAGCCAGGAGCAGTACTTCCCAGTCGCAGCACTCCTGGCAGCTCAGGCCCTGCAGTTCTTTAAGGGGAAGAGTAACGGGGCAGCTGGCTGACCTGCACCTTGGCGCACGCTTGGCAGAACTGCTGCCTTCATCCACGGTTGCCAGTGAGTCCCCAAAACGTGCCCTGACATTGCCAAAAGTCCCCTGGGAGTGATGTATCACTACCGGGGGCTTGATGAAGGAGTGTAAATAGAAAAGGGAGTAATCCCTCTCCGCCCCCCGCAACGGAATGAGTTTAACTGGAGACATGTAAATTCTCAGCGATTACCACTCTCACCCAAGAGCATCATTAACTAGCACGGTGTCATTGATTAAACACATACAAGATTCCCAAATTAAAAATCACTTGAAAATCACTGCACATTTTCTCCAATTACAGGAGAGCTAGCCCCTCAGGGAAGCCTGCACTCGTGTCAGCACAGAACAAGGCCAACCAACTGATCTTCTGCCATGGAGAGGCTGCCTTGACCGAGATGGGCAGCCTGCTACTGCAGGACCATCCCAGCTACGAGCAAGGGCAGCGCGCTGGGGACTCTGGGACGCTTCGGCAGCTGCTGCAGGACTATCCCAGCTACAAGCAAGGGCAGCGCACTGGGGCCTCTGGGACACTTCGGCAGCTATCAGGCAGGGACTGAATACTATGGAATTCAAACAGGTAGATGGCAGGCTGAGACTTCTAAGACCAGCACAAATTAGAGCAGATGAGCGAAGAGCTGACTAACAGCATCAGAGTGCTTCCAGGTAGCCTGGGCACAGCCAAGGCACTTGGGATTTACAAGGTCCAGGTGGTGCGGGAGGCGAGGAGCTGCCCACAAAGAGAATGAAGGTCCATTTCTGGAGATGTCTGTCCACTGGACTGCCTACTGAGACAGGGGACGAGAACAGGGATTTGCTTGTCAAAACTGAATGCCACATTACAAGCTTGCTGTCAGAATCAAAGCAGAACCTCAATTTAGATGATCAGGGTTCAAACTCAGACTGAGATCAGCAGTGGTGCGTGCATCACCGAGGGTCAGAGGAAGCTCAGCAGTCACGGAGGGCCGGTCTCTGAATGCAGCCCAGGGAAACGGGCTGCATGGTGAAGGCAAGCCCCCTTCCTCCAGGGGCTTCCAAGCTGCTGAACAGCTCCTTCAGCTGGGCACGCCAGAGGGGGGTTAAGTAGAGCAGGGAGAGCCGCCCTTGGGGAGAGCAGGGCCGACTGGCCACAGGCTTCGTGTGCTGCTGAGTTTGGAGGAAAAGGCACAGCGTGGACGTGGACACACGTGAATGGACAGCAGCAGCAGAGATGCGGGAAGGAGGCACCGGGCTCCTTCCCGGCCAGGTAGATGCGGGAAGCTGGAGAAGGCTGGAAAGTGAAGCAGGCATGACAGGAGAGGCCTTCTCAGAATATTCTACAGGAATTTCACCAGATTCTGTAGACAGTGAGGAGCACCATGGAGGGATGCGACCCTGTTAGCCAAACAGAAAACTAAGCGGCATTTCATGTCTGTGTGCTGAAGAAATCACTGGCCCCAGAACCCATGGCAGGGGTCCGCGTCGAGGGGCAGGGGGCCGCAGTGTGCCACGGGAGAGGGAGATGGTAGGGGGCCCTGCAGTGTGCCACAGGAGAGGGAGATGGGCAGGGGGCCGCAGTGTGTCATGGGAGAGGGAGATGGGCAGGGGGCTGCAGAGGCCCTGCGTGAGAGGCTCTTCTAGAACAGGAGGATGCAGACCCTGGGAATGAGAACCGGGTGTGGAAGGAATCCTTGAAGAGCGTGGCCAACCTCACCAAGGCCAACACGCCCTGGGAAGAGCATAGGCAATGCCTACACGCTGCAGATGCAGGGAAGGTGAGATGGTAGGGCTGACATGTGTTAGTCCATGGCCAATGAGAGATTTTCTTGTTGCTTTCTAAAGGCAAATGATCCAACAACAAACCATGATGGAAAAAAGTAAATTAACGTCTAATCAGGCTAAGAATATCAGAAATAGAAAATGCAAATCTAAAAGGAAATTCATGGAACACTTACAGCAACTAAAAGACTTTAAAATATCCTCCAAGACAAAGTAAAGGGCTGACTTCAGGTTTTTAAAATGGTTGCAGAATAGGATAGAGGATCAAGGAGACGCAAGTAACACGGCGAATGCTGAGCACACTATGTATTGCCATAAGTGTGCAGAGGAGCGTACATGACGCTACGACGGTCCATCCATTGTATTTCAGAACCTTTTATCACAGATTCCCAAAGTCACAGGAAAGCGAAGGAAACACTTAGCGAAAAGACCGTGTCCCTCCACAGAGTTCCGAGCTTGCTTCACCTGTCATATTCTCTAGAAAAATCCCAGAAATAAAGTAATTTCACCTGGTAGACAGCACTGGTGAGTCTCACCAATAATGGCTTTAAAAAAGGTGTTTAAGCGTAGCAGTGATTTGCACTTGCAGTTAAAGGGTGTTGGGAAAGACCCCCAGAGAATGTCTAAAACCTTGGGGACAGAGGATTATGTAGTGCCATTTAACTGGCTCTGCACAGTGCCTCCCACTTAGCCTACCCAGCCAGGCGGGGTCGGGGCAAACTTTGCAGACTCTGGGACTCCCTACTTGCAGAGGTCCCCAGAAAGGTGGGGTTCCATCTCTGAGGTGGCTCGCACACACTCTGGCTCTTCCTGACACAGCTGTCTCCACAGGGAGCTTGAGACCCCAAGAATCCCTCTTACAGAACAACACATCTTTTCCCAGTACATCATTTAAGGTTCCTTGAATAGCTAAGCATGTCCATAGTGGTAGACCTCCTCTGGCCTACACTGTAACAGGACCACGGTCTGTGGCCTCCTACCTCCTCAGAGAAATTACACAGTGGTTCCCGAGCAGGAATCCCCCAAAGCTATCCACATGGGAGACTCAGGGAACCTACGAGGGTGGCCACTCAATGCTGGGAGCAGAGTTACACATTGCCAGCGATTTCTGGCTTCTAGGGGACAGGGGAGCACTAAGGGCTTTGTAATTAAACCTTCCCTGAAGCCACACACAGCAATCGCCTTGGAGACAGGCTTCTTGTCAGCTATGGCAGGGATCTCTGCCCGGGGCTCTGGTGATTGCTGAAGTAGAAGGTGTAGAAATGTGATGACTCTGGGGTCCTGGCATCTATGTGAAGAGCCCAGAGGGCTGAGGGAGCCAGGGCACAGCTGTCATGCTGCTGCTTAGCCACCACCTCCATCTTCTTCCACTTAAAGGATGTGCAAATTAGCACTTTAAGACGTTTCCAACTAGGAGGAGTGGGGACGGGCACATTGCATATGACCTGGGGAGCTCTCTGCCTTTGCAAAGATACCTTCTGTTGCCCAACACAGATCATTGCAGAACAGCCCAGAGTCAAGTGGAGACCTGCTTCCCGTTCTACGGAGAGAACAGAATGCAGTTCCAAAGGAATCCGTACAATTTCCATACACAAACTGCAGCAAAATGCATACCGAAGTGCATCTTATGGGCTGCTGGCCAGGGGTCTGGGCGGGCCAGGGGAGGCTGATGCATGCCATTCCTGGTAGTTCCGCCATGGGCAGCTTGACAGCGTGCATGGTGACAAGTTCCACAGAGGGTCGGGCTCCAGGCAGAGAATGCCACTCTTCAGACGATGTTTATTGGCACAGATAACCCCTTACATGACCAACACAGTGCCCGCAAGAAAGCAGTCATCCCAAAGCATGCGCGGCCTTCCGGAATGGCCCTATTTCTTGACACTCAGCAGAAGGTGTTCTTAAGAAAGAAATTCACGCCGATCAGAAAACACCCCATACAGAAAACCTCTCCAGCCTCAAAAAGAAGCACCTTCATGTTCACGCTGTTGTGCGTGATGCAGCCCAAATACTGACGCTCTAATCAAATGATAAGTAACTCAAGCCCAGGGAATAATTAAGTGTACAAAAGAAGACCTAAGTCTGTGTCTGCATTAGCCAGAGCATGGCAGTTAAGGTAAGTGATAGCTGTAATTACTCACACATGACTCTATTTCTGCAAATGAACAAACATCATTATTTCTGGGAAACAGTGGTAGCATACAGATACTGGTACATTCAAGAGGAAGTGTTTCCTAGAAAAGTGACGTGAGCTGGGGTTCTGTTGGACCTTTGAGCTATTTTAAACATTGACTTTCATCCTGAACCTTCACTCAGCCTGTCCATGACTGTTCTGTACTAATTGCTTTGAGAGAACGTGTGAGCACGGATATTCCACCTTCTGACGCACACAGTGGCAGTGTTTGGGATAGCTGCCCTTTCTGTAGGATTCACTGGTGGCAGACGACATGCAGTCCGTTTCTCCTTCGCTGAGGGCCTGATGACATGGGGTATGGGGTTGGGTCCTCTAATGGCCACCTGCAGCATCTGGGTACCCAGCAATTCAG